TTACCCAATATGCTAAGCCAAAACATGGTTGGTTTGCTTGTGTGTTCATTTATATTCTAACCTATGTCTGTCGTAAGACATGACCTAAATCTAACAAGTAGGATTTGTTAGCCTTCTTTCTATGACGTGTATCCAACCAAATATACCTTTTAAATTAAAGCATGGGTTGGCATGTTCTATAAATGCAGCTTAAGAAACTAGCAAACATAAGGAAATTCAGGTTATATATTATAAAGAATTCATTAAGTATTATTTTCCTCTTAAAAGAATGTTGATTCAAGTTAATTCTATACATTGTTGCCCAAATTCCTGTCTGACATCAACAGATGCAAAATACGAAGTTAAGCCAACCCAAGTAACTATTATAGCATAGGATGACAGTCTCCTAATATTATCATTAAGTCTGCTGTTGGCTTATCTAAAACACATAACTAAGACTTGGTTTGGTTTACCACTAAAAGCATAGGGTGTGTTCTCATAAAATTGTACTTTACAATTTATCACAGTTTTTAAATAGCATGTTACATTTCAAATAAGCAAATCACATTTGGAATAAATACAGTATATTGTCTCAGGCAAGCTATAGTTTTAATGATATTCATTCAGAAATAAATCTCCGATTTAAGTGGGTTACTTCCAGATAAATATATGGAACTGCAGGCACAGTTACTTTGGACTTAATAATCAGTGTATGGACGTAAAGCTTTCTATCACATGAACATAGGATTGTATTGTAACTTTTGTAGTTAGTGTACTACAAAGTAAGTTTGTGTATAACAAAGATTGTATTTATTCAATAAACAAAATTACACATTTGAACGAACAAAATGAAAAAAACAAAAATGTGATAGTGACCATAGACACATAAGTGCACTTATACACACACCCTTAGGAACTTCTTAAATATTTGATGAGGTCCACAGAAATTAAGTTAGAATTAAAACAGTGAAAGTTAATAGCTGAAACAACTGAATCAGATAAGATATTCCAGACTTTGACAACTCTGTTACAAAAACTGATTTTTTTACAATCAAATTTAAAGTAGTTTACATTAAGTTTAAAGAAGTTGTTTGCATGTGTTACTTTATGATTAAAATTAAAAAATCATTTACAGGTAATATGTTACTATGTCCAATTTTGTATGCAATATCTAAATCTGATCACAAGCCTTGCAGTTCTAAACTATCCAAACCAAGAATTTCAAGCCTAGTAGCAGAAGGTATTCTATTATGGACAGAAGAGTACTAGACTTTTCTTGTAAAGTACTTCTGAACTCACCTGATTGTATTAATGTCCGATATGTGGTAAGGATTCCACATTACTAGCTGTAGTAGACTTTCTACAAGTTAAATACAATAATAGATTGGTAACAAGATTTTAAAGTTTAATTCTGCTGTTGCTTTGTCGATAGATGACAGGTCAAATAATGCAAATAGATGTATAGGTTTTTAAATTTTGGACCTCCTTCACAAGGGGGTAAACTAAAATTGTTGCAATATATTTATCAGTATTCGGGGGGGGTATATATGTATAAGTTTTTTTCTCTTTCACTTTTTAATATACTTTTTAAAATGTTGAGTTTTTTGTCTTGTTTTTGCAAAAAAAAATTCTTTCTTTTGGAGTTTGTATTTTAATTTTCTGAATACAAAATCAAAATTACTATTAAAAAAAAGTTCTCACGGAATCTAGGATTCCATGGAACACAGTTTGAAAAACCCAGATCAAGGAAGTTATGATTCCTTTAGTAGTTACTTGGGAAAGTTAAGATATCCACGGCCTTGGAAAGTTTTTGCTATATTTACTCCTAAAATAAAAAGAAGAAACCAAAATGATAGTAATGGCTGATCTTGCAGAAAGCATGATGATTAATTTCTATACACCACTTTTAAATTTTTTAAAAAAAACTTTCTATTTTCCATGAAACATTTCAAAGCTATGTGTATGCTTTGCCTTGATGCAAGATTATCTTACTATATCACACTACAGTCAGCTGAGATGCACTGGATTGATAGAAATGATTAAACTTGGATTTAAATGAGATTTCTTTAAAGTAGATTGAATAATATCTCAAGTAGAAGCAGATAACAAAACAGAACATCTCTTTTCTAAATAAAGCCATTGCAAACAACAATGGGATGTGTCATAGGATCAGAAATAGCTCATACCTTTATTATTGACTCTTTCCAAGCCAGAACTATGTGGAGCATAAATTTCACAAATTACGATTTTCCAAGAATTATGACAGAGATATGTAGGAAGAATGAGATTTGTAATTTTTTAAAAATGATTAATCTTTTGCCAACCAAATTTATTTTAATAATAAGGGGAAGATTCAAATTACTCTATATGACATTGCTAGGAGGGTAAGCCAAAAATCAAACAGGCCATATGCCTGTAGAGGGCATGGAAAATATTACTAGCAACAAAACTGCACAAGTATATGAAATATTAGAATACATAATGAGAAATGATGGAATAGAAGTTGGAAATAAAAATTGCTGAAAATTCAAAGGCTTGTTGAAGTTGAAAGGCTTTCTAAGCTATATTGGGAATTTTCTGGCTGACTTGCAAGGTTTAAAAGATAAATAAATTCACACATTACATTTTATTAAACACAAACAAGGCATTAAGCAAAAAACCTATACTGCCTGTTTTTAACATATTTAACACAAACAGTTGCCAGTTGTTTTTACCCTTATTTCTCATTTGGAGAAATAAAGAACTCTACCTCCTACAGAGCAGTGATCCAGAGATGCAGTTTGGTATAAGAAGTGGGAACACAGAATCATTAAATTTCAGAAAATCCAGCAGGAAAGCTTTGAACCTTTTAAGGAAACTGAGTGGAGCTAGACAACTGACACAACAAAACATCCAATGTAAACTCCTGACCAAACAGACTCTTTGAGTTATATCTCTCTTCAAAGCTCCAATAGTGAAAGGATACTCCACTCTCATCAAGAAATCGCTTTCAACTTTTTGGTGGTCAAGTGGAACACTTTCTGAGCACTCTTGTCCCTTCTCTATAAAAGAAATTGACATCGTCATTGGTAGTCTGAAATGTGGTAAAGCACGGGGCTTTGATGGTATTCATCCAAAATTCCTGGTAAACCCTGGGAGACATGCATGGAACTGAATTGGTAAATTCCTCTCAGAAGTAATTTTCAATGGCTACCTCCTACCAGAATTCAAAAAAGCTAAAATAATATCATCTCTAAAAACTGGCAAACCACTAGGCAGAGTTGAAAGCTACTGCCCAATTGCCCTTTTGAATTCCTGGAAAAATTAATTATAAACAGGGTAAGTCCCATAACAGATCAACATCTACCTATGGAAGAAGACAGCTTCTGACAAGACCAAAGCTGTGCAGACCAGGTGCTAAGCCTAACAGGCTATATTGAAGCAGAATTCCAAAAAGGCCTCAAAACCAGAGATGTGTTCATAGACCTAACTGCAGCAGAAACAGTTTGAATGCATGGGAAAACTGCCATATTATCCCCTGAAAAAAATTATATTGACTAATAGATAACATGCTGAGTGATAATGGGAAAAGAAAAATAAGTAAAATTAAACAATACTTTCCCCCCACGGCTCTGTAATGGCACATATACCATTCAACTTATATTAGATAATGCTAGTGACAAGGGGACACAAATTTGGACACACTGATGATGTACAAGAAGTACAAGAAAAATACATGGAGGCAGCTGACGACCTCCTATCCAAAGACCTTAAAATCTTGGGAAAATTCTTTTCTGGAGGCTCGCTCCTAGCATCAGCAAAACGTTAACTATGTGCTTCCACCTTAGCAATGAACTAGCAAATGAAGCCCCCACCCAAGGTCTACTTCATAGGTGGAGAACTATGGCCCTTTTATGACTTGTGGATTTTAATTCCCAGAATTCTTCAGCATGACTGGCTTAGGAATTCTGGGACTTGAAGTCCACAAGTCATAAAAGGGGCATAATTCCCCATCCTGATCTACTTAAAAGAACAACTTACTCCCCTATTATCCCCATTAAAAAGTATCTTGGAGTAACATTGGTCCAAAGAATACAGTGGCAAAAATCAATACTAGGAACAGCATACTCCAGAAATTATGCGTAAATTAGAAGCCTCAGCTGCCACCTTCAGGTCATGAGCACTAGGGTTCAGCTCTCCACCACAGCAGAATACTGTGCCCCTGGTATGGCTTAACAGCTGCCATACTAAAAAGTTAAGATGACAGACTCAATGACACCATGAGGATGATAAGCAGATGTATTAAAACTACTCTTTCTGGCTTCCTGTTCTGGCTTTACGAAGGTAAGATGCACTAGTGAGGGAATACAGAAAAATTATGAACAGCTCACTCCTACCGTGCCTGCCGACCTTCCTCATTTATCAGCAAGAAGACTCAAATCCAGGAAGCCCCCACTGGAACTTGCACAATAACTGCCCGTCTTTAACATTGATTACCAATGGAAAGTGAAATGGATTGCTGAACACCCAGGCATAGGAAGATATATAAATGACTCCACAAAAAAGGTGCCAGGTTTTGAACAACCATGTCAGTAATGGACAATCCTGAATAGGACTGACACCTCACACACCTTACTGACACAACAACCATATCAGTAATGGACAATCCTGAATAGGATTGACACCTCACACAGCATTTGCCAGGACTCTCTGTATAAATGGAGCATAGTATCCTTCCTTCAGTGTGACTGCAGCGTCCCACATGAAACTGTAGATCGCATTGTGACTGACTGTAAACTGAGGGCATATACCAATCCAGAATCTAATTTTTTAAATATAAACAATACTGGGCTTCAATGGTTAGATGGCCTAAATGGTTAGATGGCCTAAATGTTTTTATTTGAACATAGGTCTTTTCAACATTTATATTTTATTGGATTCTACTAATCTAGATGAAACGTATATATTGCTAATCCATGTAGAACACGGCATACGCTAAATAAATAAATTCTCATTTGGAACAGAATAGACAATAGAATGAGGAATTGGAAAGATGCTTTGATTTTTATTTGCATTGTGTTCATTAATATGTCTATACATACAGTGGACAAATTTGGTACGAAAACTTGGCAGTTTGCAAGCTAGTTGATCATTGCAATATCAATAATTTAGAAGGCACGAAATTCAAATTTTCACCGTTTCAGGTCAGTATTAATTTCTCCACCAAAGGAAATATCTTGGCCAGTTTTCTACCTTTTGGATCGTTCGTGAATATCAGCTGACAGAGTAGACATTTATGTACATGCATATCAATCAATCACCTGTAGGGTACACCGAAGCAAAATTACAAGGTATTTATGTAAGAGACCTCGGGTTCTCTTTCACCTCCGCATTATTTATTTAAAAAAAAAAAAAAACGTAGGCGTTTATGAGTTCCCGCACAAAGGCTGAGCAATTTACGGCCCGACAAGTACAAACACCCACCCGAGGAATCGCCTCCGCTGCCACCCACTCCGCCTGCGGGTAGGCGGGGGAAGGGACCGTTTTGCGCATGATGACGAGACCGACCGATGACGAAGACAACAGCTGCTCTAGTATCAACGCGTGAACTGCGGACAGTTAAATAAGCCGCGGCGCCGCCCTCCTCCCTGCGAGGCGCGGGTCCTCAAGCGCCTCTTCCGAACATCTTGGGCATCTCTTCGATTGTCGCATAACGCTTGTTGTTGACTCAGACATTCAATACATGAGAGTCACGGACTCCTCCTTCAATACAGTAATAATAATCGAAGGCATCCATTACTGCTGTCACAGCCGATCTCAAATACAGTAGGCGCGCACACAATAGCCTCCACGAAAAACACGAACGCAAACAGTAAATTCTATCCTTCTACCCGTGATCAGGTTACCTAGTTTGGGTAATGAAACGTCTGCAACAAAACAACCAAGTTCAAAGAGCGCCAAGGACCCCCTCATGTCAACCCCGAGCTGCAAATATTGTCCTTTAAGAATACGAACGTTTATTGGCTCATTTTAAACTTTATTTTTTTTTAAAAAAAACCTAATTCACAGTAATCGGAGCCAGTGAAATAAACTCCTCGCTGAAATTTTCCTTCAAGAAAGTAAAAAAACATTCTGTCTGCGAGGCGAATTAAAGATGGCTTCTCTAAAGAAAAACTAGTTTTTTTTAATATATATATATATAATATATATATATATAGTTCGTTTAGGATTATCTATCATTTCCTATCTCTGTGGTGCTTCACCATCACGGCATAGTGCGCACGCTCGTTCGTTCGTTCTCTATTCCCTAAACTGGAACTATGGGGTTGCCACGGAAACGGATAGACGCTACCCGACGGCTTGGAGAGAAAGAAAGCGCGAAGGCGCCCGAGGCAGGCAGACCAAAAATAGGAAGGTGAGAGATTTCTTGGTGAAAGGTCGTTCTCAGCTCATAGTTGTTTAAATGCGAAAGGTTTATATTCCTCTCCCCTTTTTTTTTGACTGCGAGATTAACTTTTACACATGCAGTTTGTTTACTATTATAGGCACAATTCCATTTCTGGCGATGGCCAGGGCGGTTTTTATATCCTTAGGGCTGCTTGTGAAGGATATCTCTTCCCCCCCACCCAACTACATTCTGTTCCCAGTATCATGGGTGAATTCTTATGGTTTTATTTCACAATAACAGACTTAAAGACCGAGACACACAGGTACATATATCCCTAGTTAAAATGTGACATTAACTAAATGTCTATGAATAAAACATAGACATTTTTGACACTTGTCGTTACCTTCTCTGTAATATTTGTATCTATATTAAGGGAACTGCCTGGCACAGATTTCTAGATAAAATGGATTATCTGGACCTCTTTCAGTCAGAATTTAGGCCTGGTTACAGGACACTTGTTGATCTCTGATGAGGATGAAATGAAAGTAGTTCAATCATCCTCTCTCTTCTTGATCTCTCAGCACCCTTTGATTGACCATGGTATCCTTTTGGGCTGACTGCTGGGCAGTGATGGGATTCAATTTTTTTAACAACTGGTTCTGTGGGCGTGGCTTATTTGGGTGGGCATGGCTTGGAGGTCATGTGACTGGGTGGGCATGGCTAGCTGGTCATGTGACCGGGTGGCCGTGGCTATGTGTATAGGGACTATTCAGAGGGCTGAAAAAAGTCATTTCTGACCGGTCCTCGCACTTTTGACTGGTCCTCACACTTATGACCATCCTCACATTTATGTCCATTGCAGCATTCTTAACAACCATGTCATTCATTTCACAACTGCTTCTCTTCACCATGGTGACAAGATAGGGCAAAAAACATAAAATGTGAGGACAGTCATAAGTGCGAGGACTGGTCAAAAGTATGAGGACCGGTCAAAAATAACTTTTTCAGCCCTCTGAGTAGTCCATATGCAGATAGGGACTACCCAGAGGGCTGAAAAAAATGATTTCTGACAGCTCCTGGCATTTTTGACTGTTCCTCGCACTTATGACTGGTCATCATGTATGCCCGTTGCAGCATTCTTAACAACCATGTCACTCATTTCACAACTGCGGTGCTTCATGTGACTGGGTGGGCATGGCCAGGTGGTCATGTGGCATCGCTTCTTTGCCCTAATGACAGTTTGCTGCAATGGTCATAAGTGTGAAAAATGGTCATAAATCACTTTTTCCAGTGCCATTGTAACTGTTATAAGTCGAGGATTACCTGTATAAAAATACAAAAAGCTTCTTTGCTTGCAAAAAGCTGCTCTAAATACCAATCATTAGATTAGAAATACCTGCAAACTGGAGTTACAAATCAGGGAGGGTGCCAGAGCACCTTGAGGAATTAAAATAGTTAAAATGCAATGATAACTATTAGCAGCAAACTCTTGCTTATAAAATGAAACCCTTTAGCAGAGAGGTCATTTAAGCTCTCCAGAATGAAGCAAAGAAGCAAACAGAATATCTGTTGCTTGTTAAACCAATTACCAGAACAAATAGACACAGAACTAGTCAGATTTCCAAAACTCTTCTTTTCAGGAACAGAGATTAACATTTTATTTATTTATTCAATTTATATACCGCCCTTCTCCTAGTGGACTATTGGGAAATAGGGAAAATTATCCCATCACTAAGCACAGGATTAAACATCACCAAGCACAGGATTAAACTTCACCAAAAACCAGTTTTAGATCAATAGTCAGAAAGTGTATGTAAACTCACGTTTGAGTTTACAGCTAGCCAAGAAGTCTTGCTGAATGTCACTCATCTTGGTTCCTTGTCATTAAAAGCTTCTGCTTCGTTATTCAATTATTTCTTCAAAGTGCTGATCATTGTACTCTGGCTGGAAGAACTCCAACAGGGAGTATTTTCTCCCAACAGCGGTGTAAAAAGCTTAAAACAACTCTTCCCCTTTGAGAAAGTCAAGCAAAAAAAAAAACCTCCGAGAACCTCCGGAACCGGAAGTGACAGTAAATCTAGGCATACTGCCGGAGAGGCAGTTTCCTAAGCAGGGGAGTAAAGATTAGGCTAGGAAACAACACAGAATGTTGTAATTCCTTACAGGATTAACCCTGTAAAGTGGGGGGGAAAAGGAGTTTTCTTTTAACAACCGGTTCTCCGAACTGCTTAACTACTTAACTACTTAAAAAACCGGTTCTACCACTGCTGCTGGGGCTGGGGCTGGGGCTGCATGACACAGTTTTGCTCTGGTTCAGCTTCTTTCTCCAAGGTTGATCCCAATCAGTATTAATAGGAAATGAAAGATTCAGCTCTCAACCACTATCTTGTGGCATGCCACAGGGCTCAGTACTTTCTCTGTTCCTTTTTAACAACTACAGTGCACAGCTCTCCTGAGGTCCATTTCCGCTGGCAGAGGGCTTCAGGAGGCTGTTGCAGCCGAAAATGGAGCTCGGGAGGGGCGCGTGTAAGCCTCCTGAGCTCTGTTTTCACTTGCAGAGTGCTAGCAAAACAAACTACTAGCAAAAGTGCATTTGATCACAAGGCAAGGAGGCATCAAGAAATGTTTTCCCTTTTGCATTCGAGCATCCAAGAAGGGACAGGAAAAGAGAAAGGAAAAGAGGAAAGAAAAAGATGGGAAGAGAACAAGGAAGGAAAAAGAAAGAAAGAGGGGAAGAAAGAAGAAAGGAGAACGAAGATGGAAGGAAAAAGGGAAGGAAGGAAGGAAGGATTATAATGAGAGGGAGGGAGGGTCTGAAGAAAGTCCTGTCTTAGCACTTGGCCACCAGCAGTTCTGCTGCCCTTTCGCCATCCCCTTATCTCTTCCTCCTGACCTCTCCTGATGGCGTCCCATCCTATCGCTGAGGATGCTTTGGTTACAAAGCTGTATCTTCTTGCGTGGAGAGAGTGGACCTCCCTCTGACCCACACACTTTGCCCTGCTGTACACACCATGAACAACCTGGCCAAGGAGAGCAAGAACAGCAGCAGCAGCCTTGAAGAGGAGGTAAGCGCAGCTGGGCAGTCCCTCAGGGAAGCGGGACTGGGCTGAGCTGTGGGGTTCCGATGCCCTAGGAGCTTGAGGGCTGGGCTGGGTGCTTGCCCTCCGGTGCCTAGGGCTCTGGAAAGCCTGTGCCCTCTATGTGGGCTGACAGGGTGAGGCTCCTCTGGAGGACAAGAGTGACGCTCTCCCTGGTCTCATCTTCCTATGCTGGAGACAATAGATCCCCCCAGTCCTGCCCGGACCACCAAGGCACTCCCAACGTGAGTGATGTCAAGCTGGCAAGCACACCCTGGCCATGCCCCCTCCCACCTAGGTCAAATACAAACCTGATGCAGCTCTCAATGAAATTGAGTTTCACACCCCTGATCTAGTGAAGCCGGTGGCTTTCAGTGAAAGAGATTAAGTTATAAGTATGAAAACAAGCTGTAGGAATTTGTCCAGGCAGTCATCAGGAATCAAGACTAACTTAAAGGTCCTCTCTCCGCAAAAAACAAGCCTCAATCCACTTATTTGACTTGTATACACATTCAAAATTATTTCTTACTAAGTTCAATATGCCTGAATAGAAGTATTTTTTAATGAGGTGTGATTGGTAAATCTAGTCTCCAGATTTCTAGAATTCTACAAAGTTATACAATTAAAATTTATTGACAGAACAGTTGGATTTTAAGATTATGATTTTTATTTTTAAGGTTTTTTAATTAAAGACCAAAATGTGAGGTTTCTCTATCAATTTTTATTTTAAAAATGCTGCCCCTTATCCCACAATGAGAAAAAATAATTGGTTCTGTTGATTCAATAACATTGTAGTGCATATTGTAATGTATATAATTTCAGCGGGAAGTTTAAAAGAACAATAGCACATTGGTGATTGGCTAACTCCCTGGCCGGAGAAGTATACAAAGGGAGCTGTTTTACTGTATGCTTTGCTAGATTCACACTGTGAATTAAAGAGCTGTTGTCATTGAAGACCTTGTTTCTGCCTCCTCATTCGCCCAACATAACATTGGCGACAAGGATGGGATTGAGGGGAACAAGAAGCAAACCAAAGAACTGAGAACAACGAATCCAGCCAGGCGGACGAGCTCAGTGCCAAGTGAGATGATCAGGATGTCTGCTTTTGCACCGCCAACACCTTTCGACCCAGCCAGAGAGAAATGTGGGTCGTACATGGCTTGGTTCGAGTGTTTTCTGGAGGCCAGCGACCTACAGAGCCTCTCCGACAACAGAAAAAGAGCTCTCTTCCTGAGCCACTGTGGCCCCAAAGCCTTCGACATAGCTGAGTCACTATCTGAGCTGACCCCGGTTCAGTCGGTACCATGGCAGGCCTTACAAGCCTCGCTTAAGGCACACTACGCCGCGGTACCCTCCAAATTTGTCCAGAGGTACGAGTTCCAGCAACGGCTGCAATGAGAAGGAGAGCCGATCAGCACTTACATGGCCGCCCTGCGCAAGGCCACTACACACTGTGAGTACCAAGACTTCAATGACGCGCTCCTAGAGCAACTAATCTGAGGTGTTAGAGATATTCGCCTACTTCTGGCCAGGTCAAATCTGACCCTACACATCGCTCTTGACGAAGCAAGAGCACACAAATCCTCCACTAAGGCTGCGGAGACCCTGCAACGACCAGCACCATCGCAGACAACGCACAAGTCAGCCCCGGT